ATTATTTCCTCCAACTCTTCTCAGTTCTCTAGGTGTGATTTCTCTACACGCTTGTATAATTCTTGCACGGAGATTTTCCTTATTTGTTGGCCTATCCTTATAACTTTATTTTTCAAGTTTTCCCATAAATGAAAATCCAATGGACCTAAATCTGGGGATCGTTATGGCCATACTACGAGAGGGCTATTGGGGCCTATCCATTTCATAGGTAGATTCCTATTCAACCAAACCCTTGTTATGCCACTATTGTGAACTGGTGAACAATTTAACTGAAAAATCATGCTGTGTCTCACATCCAAAGGTAGTTTTTCCAACACATCGGAAAATGCATTTTCGAGAAAATCAACGAATAGTCGTCCGTTTAAATTTTGATTGGAAAAAAATGGCCCGATTATATTTTCGTTCAGGATACCACACCACACATTAACTTTCTGAGATAATTGGTCAAAAATCCTTGAGATTCGTGATCAGGACTACCAACTTATTACGATTACACTTTTCTCGTGGAAAAATTTCAGTCCTGAAAAATCCGAATTTGTCTCACTTCTCATGAAAACACCCCCGTATCTTCCGTAATATTGGAGGTAAAACGATGAAACTTCCAGGACTGATGGAAATGCTCAAAATGCACCTATCACCTAAATGGGGTTGGCCAAAGTGATATACACTGTCCGCCACTCGCGATGGAATACCCCATTTTTACGGTAAAACATGTTAGGGGGCAAAATAGTTCGCTTCCAATACCTGAACTCCTTCATTCTATCTGGAGAGTACTCTCAGGTATGAAAGATACAGATGTAGTGAGATGCTATCATCCATTTTGAGCCTATCTAAGGAAAATGTCACAGCACCACATTCTCAGATTATCGAGATAGTGTGAAGCAGTGTATGAAAAACCAAATTTTGGCTTCCTAGAACTTACCAGTAAGGAGAAACAGAGATGAATGAAGAGAGTGTTTAGTAAATTACTTTTGCATTTATAAGTACAGATTGAAGAAAACATTACAAAAAGGAATACTTAACAAAAAAATTAAAATTCTGCAAAACCTGTGAAGAATTGATATTTTGAATTTCTAAATTGATTTCTTTGCACTTTTCTTGCGAATCAATATGGATCAACTAGTTACTAGTTATTGATGAGACATCTGTACAAAAATGGCTGAAGGTAAATACGCGACTGGAAACAGAATATTGATAGAAGTCTGTAACTATGTACTATTCAATCCGAGCCTCTCATCAATAGATGGCGATGCATATATTGATTGCTTCATTGAATTCTAAATTCAATTAAAACATAAAGTGGCATTGCATCTGAACGCTATCTGAATATGTAAGATATGTATTCCTAAAAACTATTAAATGAGATCTTCATAGAACAAAATCAACAGCTCAAAAATAGCATCGAACACCTAAATTTCAGACTTTAGCGACAAAACTAAGAATTTAGTTGTGTTGAAATTCACTTGAACGCTTCCATTATTATAGAAAACTGTTATAGAATTAAAAAGTATTCGAAAAGATATTGTTGATGACTTGACACCCAGAGAGAGGAGGTAAAAATACTATGTGGGTTTTTTCATCTGTCAAAACCAAACAACGAAAAAAACTATTTTATCAGGAACAAGAAACTGTTCGTTGATGGGAATTTAAAGTGTCTATAGAAATCATCCCAATAAAGAAAGCAACATCAAGGTATCCAGGAACCTTGTAGTCAGTAATTGATAAAAATACTTCAAGAAGGCAGTCTCATAAATACATAAATCCAAATTTAACTGAAAAAATAATCCCAGAAAACAGCCATGTTTCCGGGAAATTCCAACCACAAAACCAAATAGATTGAACCCGCAAAACTAGTTTGTTTGAAAATGATAGATAGATAGATAGAAATGGATATTGAAATTATTGAATATTCTGAATTCAATCGAACCAAAATACTCGATTGAAACACAAATTGACAAAAAAAATAGCAAAATGAATAACAAAACCTGTAAAATGTCAATTTGTGAAGAAAACAATAGATGGAATGTGAATGCAAGCAGTGTAATTAAATTTCAATGAAATAATTTTTAGGTTCCACAGTCATTTTTCGAATGATAAGTGGACTATTCCTGACAGTTGATACCTACAATTTTTAGGCAGTGGAACGCTTTTATCTCTTTGCCATACTCCTAACGATTTTCAGTTCAGTGCAACGAAGACCGTTTTCTCCCTTGATAGATAGATAGATGTTTATTGACGACAGTATATAAAGGTACATTAGTGGTAAGTCGGTGGTACAGGGTAGGTGAACAGCATAACTGAACAAAAACATATATAAAAAACAATAACAGTTGAAATATACGAAAAAATTATTGAATAAAATATACAGAAAATCATTCAAATGAAATATACATACAATTTCACAAGAAAAGTGAACATAGAATGTGCATAATATTATAAAAGTTCAAAGCACTGGAGTTGTACTATAAAAACTTTGTTTTATCAGATAGTCCTTGGTGTGCTTTCTGAAACGTGGCAACGGTAAATTTATGATACTTAATGGTAGAATATTATATAGGTTGACATGGAGTGAGTTCTTAGAGGATTCCTCCGTACTACAAAAACTTTGTTTTATTAAATAGTCCTTGATGTCCTTTCTGAAACTTGGCAACAGTAAATTTATGATACTGAATGGTAGAATATTAGATAGTTTGACATGGAGTGAGTTCTTAGAGGATTTTTGAAAAATTGAACCAGTGAGGTCTCAAAAGATTAGCCCGACGAGTTTATATCTGTGAAATTGGGAGTTGTTCGAAAATCTCTCTATAATTTTGTGTATTTTCAAGAGTGTTTGATATATGAAAATGAATGGTAACGTTATAATGCCTAGCCAGACAATCACTGCCTTCGTCTACAGACAATCTAGCTAGGGAAATTACAGAGATAGGTCATAATAATGGTTTCAACGAAGATACTATCCAGAAGTTAGTCAGGAAACAAAGCCGGAAATTCACTTACAGATCAATATATCCTCAGGTCAAACAACCAGAAATCAAGAAATGGGTAATGCTTAACACATTTTGGAAAAAGAACAGAAATAATTGCAGTTTTCTTCAGAAAAAACAATGTTGAAGTAGCAATCAGACCACATGCCAGGTTATCTCATTTCCTTTTCAATGGTGAAGATAAGGTCAACAAGTTGGAAAAATTTGGAGTTTATAAGCTTAAGTGTCCGGTGTGTGATAGTGTTTATGTGAGACAATGCGGCCGAAATTTACAAAAACGGTATGCTGAATGTTAGATCACTCACGATACAAAGTATGTCTCAACTGATGCAGATTGCCGTGAATACTGATTCAGCGGAGAAAACATTGAATGATATAACAGTACCACCAGTACTGGGTTAGATGAAAAATAAGGAGATGTCCGGTTTGATATTCAGAGAAGGCCGTTTTTGTTTTTGAGATTCTACTCCGCTGTTGACATTTCCGCATGAATATGTATGTTGTTGGTTGGTATGTACAAGTTGGAAAAATATGGAGTTTATAAGCTTAAGTTTATAGTGTTTATGTGAGACAATTTGGCCGAAATTTACAAAAACCGTATGCTGAACATGAAAGGTCTTTCAGACTAGGAAAAAATGATTCGACGTTTTCAAACCATTCCTTGGCATGCAACCACAAGTTTCCGAATATAAACGATACGGAAATTCTGCACTATGCAAGGAAGGGTTGCAAACTCGATTATTTAGAATCCTTGGAAATTTACAAGCATAAACATTGCGGGTGCAACTTGTTAAATGATCGAATCGATTTAATTTACTCTCCGGTTTTTAAATTGGCACATCCGTATTGTTAACTGTAAATTCAGGTAGTCAATCAAGTAGGTACCTGAATGGTATATATTGGCGAATGTAATGAATCATTGTTAGTTTATTGTATAAGTTTGAGAATGTCCTTATAGGACGAAACTGCAGTAACGTTAGTTACAAATAAAAGTGGTAAAAAACATAGAAATTTTCATTTCTCTTTTCATTATGATCTCCTACCACGTAGTAACGGCTACATACATCAATTTATATTCACATATATTATGAATGTCCACATCAGCTTTGATGAATGTATCATCAGTCAATTTGTATGCATCTTTTTTGAACTTTCTCTCAAACCAGTGAATCATCTCAGTTTCGAACCACTTGATGTTATAATTGATTATTCCAATTTCCAATTCAATGGTTTATCCTCGCTGACTGTTTTTTTTTTGCTCACCAATGCGAAGTCTAAACAGCCTATTTTCATGTTTCAACTTTCACAGAGAAGCATGAAACATCGGGCTCAAAAGATAATTTTCAATTTTAGATGAAATGACAAGTTACTGATATGACTGCTGGTAACATGAAAATTCTCTGTTAATCGTTCTGTTATGGGGTTAAAGTTGTTTTCAAGGAGAGAAAAAATTTTTACGAAACTATGATTTCCTACTTTGATATTAAGATCCTGAAGAGGGCACAAATTCATTATTTTTGAGCAATCTGCGAGCTATTTCTCCTTCGAATTTCGGAGTGTTCATTTTTCTGCTTAGCTGGAATACGCAGACCTCTCGATTCGTGAAATTGAAATTCACAGTCGTATCCGCGCGATAAGAGAAATTATACAGGACGGAAAGAACAATTTTTGGAAAACAGGTTGTCATTGCATATGATCAAACAAATTACTTAAAGATAAGGTCAACAAGTTGGAAAAATCTTTTCTCCTCTCGATTGGTGAAATTGAAATTCATAGTCGTATCCGCGCGATAGGAGAAATTATACAGGACGGAAAAAACAATTTTTGGAAAACAGGTTGTGATTGCATATGATCAAACAAATTACTTATAGTTTGTGTACAAAAATATGCAAGAACGTGGGAAAAGAACATTTATCGTATACGAATTCAAAATTATTTGTATCACAAACTCAGGAACAGACAATACTGTGGTGAATTTTTATGATCACTTCAAACTTGTTTATTTTTTTTTTGCAGGTTTTTGTATACGTTCTCGATAAAGTTGTGTGGTTACTACTGATAACCGCTATGATGACACAGGCTCTCCAAATAGCAGGAGTACTGGATACTCCAAAAGGTTTACAGGAAATATCATATGTACAGGTGAGAAATATTCGAAAGATGATAACGAAAAAACACTCATGAGAAATTTGTACAACACATAGTNTAACATTGAAACTCTCAGGCAAACGTTGGTGACTTCGGTGAATTGGTTTCTGAACGCAAAGAAACTGGTTTCACATACCTACATTTTCACTAGTTGAAACTATATATATCAATAACTTGAAAATTTGCATTCCATAGTCATACTCGAATTCATTCGTTTGTTTGAAGGTGGTTAACAATGTTTCATGTGGCATCTCATTAGTTCGGACTTACATTGTCTAATACGACATCAAATGATTTATAATCTCTGGAAGAATTATCAAAAATTAAAGGGAAAAGCAAAAAAATAACAATTATATTATATTGCCTAATGTAATTTTCATTTTCAGATATTCTCTTCAATTCTATTGATTCTTTCAGGGATTCCTAATCATTTTATATCAGATTATACATTGGAAGTCCGAACTACTGATATGCTCGAATTCATTCCCACATAGCAATAGATATTCCAGGAATATTTCATGAATATACATTTAAAGATATTGTATTATGCTATGCATATGCCATATACATCTTCTGGAAAATATTCCCTGTATACATTCTAAGAATATTCCTGGGGAATATTCTTGGAATATCTTGAAATATTCTCAGACTATGTGAGGTATATTCTATTAAGAAGCTGGGGAATGTTCATATCCATTCTATAGTCCATTGACTGAAGTTGATAGAAATATTATTTTACAAGTACAAATACTTGAAGATTCTGTATCTGTAGAGTAGGGAGGGTGAGTGTAAGCCCACATCACTTAGGCCACATATGACCGATTGTACATTCTCCCGACGAGTTGTCCTCCTAGGTCATCGTTCATCCTGTCCTTTCCAGGAAAGTGGACAGGTCACTGGGAGACATCTCCTTTATATCGGCAGGTGTAGGCCAAGACTTGCCGAACCACACTCTCTTATTGACGATAACTCTGGGCACTTGCTTAGGACATGCCTGATAGTCTCATCTTACAGTTTACACATCCTGCGTAGAGGTATGTCTGCTAGCCCCATATAATCGAGGTGTTTCCTCAGTTGACAGTGGCCAGTCAGAAATTCTATTGTTAAGCGTAGATTTTTCCCAGTCATCGCCAGATATTTCTTCGGCCCCTGGTTTTCAGGGTCGCCCAAGGTAATCCTGACAAGATTGCATCTTTTGATTCCAACCCATCTCTTAAGGAATCGAGCATTCGTACGTTAACATAGGTCTCTTTATTGCTGTGTAGATCCAGGTGACCACACGGGGTGAAAGACCCCATGCGCGTCCCACTATCCTTCGGCATTGCTCATAAGCCACATATGTTCTTTTTGCTCTACTCTGTAGGTGAAAGTTCCATGTTAGCTTCTTGTCGAGGATAGTACCAAGGTATTTCAACTCTTCAGAGAAGTTCAGTTTGGTTCTGAAGATTTCGGAAGGTTTTAGGCCCGATAAACTTCTTTTCCTGGTGAAAAGGACCATTTCAGTCTTCTTGGGATTGCTCGACAGTGGGTATTCCTTACACCATGTTTCTATCAATTTGAGCCCATCCTGCGCTCTATCGCACAGTGTGTTTACAAATTCGCCGGTCTATTATAACACAACAAAAAAATATTTTTTGAATGTTTCCTACACTAAATTAGTCAATTTCTACTAATTTTGGGGTGATAAAAACGAAAATAACAATGAAAAATTTTTATTAGCTCTGGTTTTTGAGATACACAGTACTTAATCTTAAAGAGTAGTTATACTATACGTGAAAAGTGAAAGTACATAAAACAATATTGTTATGTTTCTTTTAGAA